TAGATAGATAGATAGATAGATAGATAGATAGATAGATAGATAGATAGATAGATAGGTAGATAGATAGAGTGAGTGGGCTAGAGAGCTAGATACATAGATACATAGATACACAGATGGATAGATAGATAGATAGACAGATAGATAGATAGATAGATAAATAGAGTAATAGATCGATAGATCGATCGATAGATAGATACATATATACATAAATACATGCATACATACATACATACATACATACATACATACATACATACATACATACATACATACATACATACATACATACATACATACAGAGATCTCCAACCACCCCAACAGGAGCAATCATGTCTTTTTCTGAGCTGTCGATCAAATTACGATAATTGGTACTTTTGTATTTCGCCAAAGATAAACCAGGTTCATGCGGCGTGCTCCTGATTCTGACCGGCATCCTGCTTATAAAAAAAGATAAGCTGGCAGTTTACGACCCCACAAACATGTTTGACGTGTTATTAAAGATGCTACTCCCCCGAGAAGTATTACCTATCTTCTTTACGCCAACATGCAATCTCTTGACATTTTTTCTCTTTTTTTTTCTTCCTGTCATCATTTTCTTTCACATGGAGCTAATAATTTTAAAAAATTAAAAATTAAAAAACCCATTACATGAAGATAATAAGAACAAAACACCCGCTTGCTCTGCTCGTCTCATTTTTTTGTGTTCTGCCCAACCACCCTGAATGCATACAGAACTGGAATAGGCAGGCAATGCAATACAGGACTAGCTCAAAAAGCTTAAACAGGAAAGAAAGATAGAAACCACATATACTACAGAACCCACTTTTCCCATCTGTGTATCTGTCTCTGTTTATCCCTAACTACAACTACGTGCCCATCCTACATCGTTATCGTTTTGTTTCCTTTATTTTCTCCACTCTGGCAATTTTATTCATCTCCATATCATTGTGCAGTCTCTGTTCTCTCTTGGGGATATTTTTTTTTAATTCCTACAATTCTTTCTTGGGTCAGAGACAGTTCTTCTTCCCAAGTTCTCCCGAAGCTCATCTGTTTATTCATTTATTCACTGCCTCAACCTCTCATTGCATATTCCATCTCATTTTCCTGATTATTCCCAGTAACACCCCATTCTCTCTCTCTCTCTCTCTCTCTCTCTCTCTCTCTCTCTCTCTCTCTCTCTCTCTCTCTCTCTCTCTCTCCTTCTCTCCCCCTCTCTCTCTCACTCTGTCTCTCTCTCTCCCTCTCTCGGTCTCTCTCTCTCTCGATCTCTCTTGCTCTCTCTATCTCTCTATATAGCTATATAAATACAAATTCACACTCGCACTCACACACACACACTCACACACGCACTCACATTCACAAACACACACACATACACAAACACACACTCGCACACACACACGCACACACACATCACTCTCATCTTCTCTCTGGTTACCACACGCAAGAAAACAAATAGATACTCGAGATCTACATAAAATAATAATTCTACCTTCATTCCAGACGCGTAAGTTACAGGTGAGCGCCAATGGTAGTGGCAGTATGTCGTTAATTGTTCTCACAGAACATAATAGTATTTTTCCTCTTTTCCTCTCCAACGAACGTTTTCTGCTTGAACATTTTCTCCCTCCTTCCCTCGTTACCCACTTTCTTTCTTCCTTACAGGGTAGAAAAAGAGAGAGAGAGAGAGAGAGAGAGAGAGAGAGAGAAAGAAAAAAAAGAAAGAAAAATTATGTAAGAAAGTAAAAAACGAGAGAGAGAGAGAAAGAGAGAGAGAGAGAGAGAGAGAGAGAGAGAGAGAGAGAGAGAGAGAGAGAGAGAGAGAGAGAGAGGGGGGTGAGGGGAAGACATGCACACGCATACTCATCCGTTTCGTTCGCTAAAACCATCCACGCCTCGGCCTGGAGTGTCCGCATTCCCCCCTCGTCCCCTTAACCCCAACCCTCTCAGCTCTTGGCCCCATTTTCCTTCTTTCGCTCACGGCGTCTGCCGAAGTCGCAAGATCGATGACGGAAGATAGGAAGAGGGGGAGAAAAATAATGGGGAAAGAGGAGGAAAGGGGGGGGGACAAGAGAGATTGCCAGCCCTGGTGGTATATTCAGCGTCTGGAGAGACAACTTGGCACATCTGCTCAGTCAATTTGAACCTAAGACATAACAACCAGGCTTAAGCCTAAGGAGAAGGTTCTTTTCACCTCAACGTTAATTCACTTTGTCCTGGTCGTGATAATGGAAATGAGTAGGTGTCTTTAGTAACCTAAAGACAAGACTCATTTATCCTACTATAGACAGAATTTGCCTTTGACTACATCCATGGTGCCTTCCCATGAGTTTGGGCTGTTTGCTATTTCTGCTTTAAAGTCCTTCTTATTTCTCTAAAGTAGTTCAGCTTCGTGGTGAGCGTGTTCTGAACGTTCAACCGTCACCCATCTCGATGTAACAGTATACCAGTTAGAAGGGGCTGAAAATGTTTGGGCTTTTTATAATATCTCTCTTGTAGAATACTTTCGTTGCAAACAGTTGGCCAAAATCCAGACCAAGACTACATTATGCGTGACTACATTACGTTAAGAAAACAGCAATATTTGTGGCTTGAAACAGATTTGTTTTGGGTTTGTTTGTTTGTTCGTTGTTTCTTGAGGGGTGTTATTTAAGCTGTTGACCACTTACTGAGTGTTTTACGAAACGCTGGCCTGGTTCTTTACGTAACAGCAGTGAAACTTTAATGGTCGAAGCCAAAAAACCATGATGTCTGTGTGGCCTAGTTGTAAAATCCCCCCCCCCCCAACCTAACCCCAACAAACCACTTTTTTCACATAAAACATTGTTTGTATCAGACACAGTGTAGTCCTCCCCCCCCTCCCCCC